CGCAGCAAGGTTCCCTCCATAATGATACTTACTACATGTAACTCAAAATGAGATTTCACTGTGTATGTGAAAATACCCATAATGCTTTGGGCTCATCACTATCCAATATAGTGTTACCTTTCCAAAAGCGATATTTCTCATTGAGAGACCATTACATGCCTATCATAGAGTTAGTTTATTATTTCATATTCTATTCATGTAACCATTAAGGGAGAGAAATACAAATATAAACATAAATAAATACAAGTATAAGCCAGAAACATTCAAAATAGTAATAAAATTAGGGAGTGTCAGGTAGACTGTTATATATCATCAGTGAAAAGGTGAAAAACATAAACAAGGAACAACTGCAATTTAATTTAGCAGCGTTTACACTTGACAGAAATGAGATCTCGGTCAATTCGGAGTTTTCAAAAGCTCAAAGTGGTCCTTCATTTACAAGAACAAAATTCAAGTGTTCATTTGACTTGCCAGTATTTTACTTGGTGCATGCAGGCAAAGGCAAACTGTGCAGCGATGTCAGACCCAGCTAAGCTATCTACCCTTCAGCCCCAGCGGGGATTTAAAGAGCAGCCCAGGGACAGAAGCCCATCGCAGGCAGCACATGATGGGGGAGCATCCCAGACAGGATTCTGTTTCCATAGGTGAAAAAGAGTCCTAAATATTATATATCTTCCAGTGTTTCCCAAACCCCGTGCTCAGGGACCTGCAGAAAGTCCACGTTTTTGCTCTTTTCTGTGGACTGTATGTGAGGGAGCTTGGAGGAAGCAGAACACATGGACCATCCGTGGGTCCCCAAGGACCGGGTTGGGAAACGCTGCTACTGATCAACAGGAAAGTACAATGCCTGGAGGAAGGGGTCAAAACTGGCCCAAAACACTTCAGATTCAACTTTCTCTGTCCAGAAATGTCACATTTGAATTCTTTTCTTCATGAAAATAAAGTATATTTCCTAATCTTTTTGACTCATCGTTATTTCTCTCAAAAACCACACTGAGATTATCTATTGATCAGAGTCGAGATTTCAACAGTGCAACTAATGATACTGGTCAATTTCACCCTCAGTTTCCTCGTAGAAGCCTAAAAAAGTAAATAAATAAGTACATACATAAATAAGTAAATAAACTATGCACCAAAATACAGTTCTGAAATACAAAGTTGTGGAAATGAAAGTGAGATCCACCCCAAGAGCCCTATCTCCAAAAGCATTAAAGAATTGAAAATTTTTATTTTACATTATTTTATCTGGCAATACACACAGAGAACTGCACACACAGGGAGTAGGGGCAGGATATGTAACCTAACCCCAAATGTGTGAAACAACAGTGCTACCCACCGAGCCACCTGACACGAGTCCCAGAACATGAGTGATGACAGGAGTGCAGGTTGGCACAGGTCTCCTCAGCGCCACCCGCAGGCAGCAGGCAGCAGGACGTGAATGAGAGAGTCCATCGGCATGCGGCCGTGCACGTTTTAATGACGCGCGTCCACACGCTCCTGTTGCAGCTACCTGGAAACGGTTACGGGGGGGTCGTCTACGAGCTGTGCCATGCTTTCTGCAGTGGGGTTTCTCTGGATTATACTCCTCATTATTTCCATTTGCAACGTCCCCCCCGCCACAAACCAGAGCATCTCGCCTGCCTTCGTGCTGAGAGCCACAATACCCAGGTGTTGTCTGTCAAAACATCTCACTTTCTGCAGGCTGCCGAAAGCTCGTCGTTTAATCGAGCAAAACATGCCAGTGTTAAGGCGGGGGGGGGGGGGGTTGGGGGAAAAGGAAAAGAAAAACAAAAACAAATTCCCTCCGTTGAGTTTGAGTTGCAGACCTTTTAAAACGGCCAGGTGCCAGCTGAGAGAAGAAGCTCAAGCACCTTGTGGACTGCAAGGCTTTCGTGCTGCCATGCATCTATCAAAGCAGGGGGCATCTCTACCCACCTTTTCATTCCCGGCTTTAAACACCTCATCCTACCCTGAGGCCTTCATCGCATCTTAAAACTAAGGAATGATGCTACAATTCTCACCGTAATACATTTGCAGATCCCAAACACGTTTATCAGAATTATCTCGTCTGCTTTTGGACTCAGGTGAAGATCACCAGGCTCCTTGCCTGTAGAACGGCTGCGAGGGAAATTGCAGAGGACGTACCCAGAATGTTCCACTCTCTGACGGCACTAAAGCATTAGTATAGACACCGGAGACTACAGCTGCAGGAATGTCAATAAAAAACAATGCCTGGAAGGAGAAAATGGTTTATTTCCTTAATTTATTATAGCAGTGTCATTTTCCCTCTATTAAAGCTGTCTCTTTAATGAGGTCTTGGCTTGTGCAAATTATGTCCTGCAGAGTGGACTTATTTTGCTTAATTCCACCCGATACAATGAGCGCATTCTGCTACGCTGGGTCAGGAATGTGCTTCCGTTCTCCCCCATCACCGCCCCCCAACCCCCCCGCTCATTATGCTACTTTTAATGCTTAGATCTCAGTAGGCTCAGTAATTTCTGGATTCCTGTGCTTTTTTGCGTAATTCCGGAGGGGATACGATCCCTGTGAAGCCCTAGGTGTGTGGAATTGGCTTGGGAATCCATTGGACGCTACTGCCTTCCCACAGTCCACAGACATAAATTTTGTTAATGGGTTGTAAATTTCCATGACTGTATGTGTCGCCCCTGGAGAGAATGGCTTTCTCTCCCAGCGGTACCCCAGGTTTCCGGGGATAGCTTCCGGATTAGTGTGACCCAAATCAGATGCACGGCTGTTAAAAACTGTCAGATGCAATATGTAAGCAGATCTGATAAAGATCTTTATATGAAAACAATAAGATTTAATTCTTTTAAAATCCAAATTCAAACCGGTCACAGAGCTTCCCGACTCAGCGTGAGGCTGACTTAGTGTCTTATCAGGATGGTCTCTTTTTCTGAATGGAATCACACGCTGAAGACTAACCTCAATTAGCTGAACAGCAGATATGAGGAGAGAGAGAGGCAACTGCATCAGATATGACACTGAGACAACAGTCCGGGAGCTCTGATCTCGACGCTACTTGACCAGATTAAACATGAGCACAAACGCAACACTAACATCATGCATTTGGTAATGGTGCACTTTAAAATGGGGGTCAGAGCTCCGGGGGGGGGATGCGTGTGATATTTGCCCACGATGGCTAGCTTAGCCCTTCATTGTTTAATCCCTACTTCTTAATATTCAAGCCGTAGCTTCAGGACAAATGAGTACCAGCACTCAGATCAATTATCTGCTTCACTGTACATGGACAATGTTACGCAGCCAGTAATTCGCTTCCTCCTTTATTATTGTGAAACTAGCCACAGAGGAAGGACAGAGATAAGCAGAATCGATCCCGGTACCATGAAGCCCTGTGCCAGAACTACTCGTCTCCAAGCCCACATCTGCCCTCACTCCCGACGACATTTTGTATCTTATATAAAAATTCTCCCCCGGAGCGCACCTCTGAAATCCATGACTGGTGCAATACCAAGCGGAATCGAGTGCGTAACTCGGCAGAACCCGCATATGTGCCGATCCCTCCTGTGCGGCTTGGCTAATTGCTCCCAAGGGAGAACCCCTACTGAAATCGGCACACAGCTGAGGAGAGCTCCAGCATGCAGATGAGATCCTTGGGCTGAATGCAACCAATAAAATAAAAAAGAAGAAACAAAAGAGCTGTCCACTGACAGAAGTCACAGAGATACCCTGCGATGGCATCAAGTCCAACTGCCGTGGTGATAGTACGCACCGGGCGGCCTTCCACGGAGTGGAACGCTCCCAGCATCATAATCTGTGTGCCGGCATTCCATGATGGAACAGCTGTGCCGCATCCAGAGGGACGCTAATAATTAAACGAACGGTCAAACGACGGGCGCAGACTCGTGGGGATGAGCTTCTAGGCAACAGCCTGCCTCTGCCCCCGCTCCTGCGCTGGGGGGGAAGTTATGGATTCTGCTGCGCATGAATGAGGGTTTATGGACCACTTAGGTGAAGCCAGTTAGGCTCATGGTGGGTAAATTGAAGGCACATTCTTTTCACGCATCGCCTGATCAATTCTGCATTGCAAATTTTATAAGGGGCAAATAAGATGTGTGTAAGGGGCTGATTATTTCTAAGCCAGTAGTAACATGCAGCTCCGTATTCATCGGGCAGAGATACGGCAAGCTGGCAGCATTTTTCATTTAAAACAGTCACAGGTCTGCTGGTTATCTGCTTAGCCGATGCTCACGTCCAAAGTGATTTCAGAGCCATTATTATCTGGATAGTTTGCTCAGGTTAAGCATTTGGGCTACTAGAGAGATACCAGTTGGAAACTGTAATTCAGAAATTTTAACTGGAACGCCCTCTGAAGTCGGAATTTCTACTCGGAAAGTCAGAGGAATCTACACAACCTCAGGCTCAGAATTCAAGATGGCTGTGCCCTTTACCAACAGACGTGAAAGCTGTAGTTCTGTACTGTTTATTAGCACTCGTGTTATTTGTGGCCATTAAACCGGTCACACACACAGTACTGTCCAACCAATACCTGTGCACATGTTGCTACTGTGTTTTATATGCAAAATACCATAAAATTTGTTCAAATCAACTGATATTGATAACAGTGGCTTACAATGAACCTAGCTAGAACTGGAGACTGTTTCAGAAAGTAGGATTTCGTGCTTAGCCGGACAGCTTGTCGGATTTAAGGTAATCTGGGCTGAATGTAAGTTAACGAAGATAAAGACCTTAAACCTGGCTAAATTAAATCTGACAAGTTTTCTGGCTAAGCAAGAAATTCTGCTGTTTGAAACCGGTCCCTGGTATTGCTAAATTGCTTTCTGACTTGAGCTGTGGAATGCTGTTAACTCTTGTGTGATGTCATTCCCAGTTCCAAGTTCCGACCTCTGAGGTAAATGGAACACAGCACTAGACCTCAGCATTAGGAGGCCAAGTACCTAATTAACGGCCAGTTATACATCCAAAATCCAAGTGAGGCCACCACATGTGAGAAGGCCTACCTTATTGGGATTGCTAGCGGTGATGATCCACACACACTGGGAGTTGCTCTCGTACTGGATCGGGAAGTTGGGGGACGTGAAGGTTCCTGCGGGGCCTTGTAGATTTGATCCACAGGTCTTCACTGAAAGAGGATAAAAGAAAGTGTAATGTCATCTGATTAGACATGACCATCGCAGACAACCCATTCGAGTGCCATTACTGCAAAGCTGAGGCCGTTTTTTCATCGATAAATGTATGTTCAGGTTACTATGAAGGTCACTTCTTCACATATTCAAGAATCATCAGTCACGTCACGGCACCATCTCCTCCAAAACATCTCATTTGCTAGACTTACCCTCAAATTATTTGTTATACAGAACTACATGAAGATGCATACAGAGTTATCTTTTAATGTCAAAACAGATTAAAAAAAAAAAAAAAAAAAGTGATTGCGCCTCGCTCGATTTTCCATCCCAGAGTGATGGCGTTGGGTTGAAAGACAAGGAGGCCTTATCTCCATCGAGTGCAGATGTTATCAATCACTGGGATCTGGAGCGCTTTGAAAATAAATAACTAATTATCTCTGAACAGATTGGGAAGCCATCGATATGTTCATCCTGCCGGAGCATCATTGGCATGCTGGTGATCGGAGGATCAGCGATCTTCTGCCCGAAACGGAAGCTGAAACTTACTCTGCAGTCAGCCTGAAAAGCCGCAGAGTGAGACTTAAAGCCTGTCCGACAGCAAAGGAAAGCAGGGAAGTAAGTCAGCTGCGGCAAGAATCCATGACCTGATGCGTAAAAATGGGCACCTCGCTTACAGGAAAGACCAGGAGAGCCTCAAATGTATGTGTTGTCTAGCGTGCTGATGTCTACACACCTTAATCTTCTCCACAGTAGATCCAGCACAAAAAAAAGAAAAAAAAAACATCAGGAACTGCAAACGTTGATTAAAAATTCTTCTGGTTTTCTCTTTGTTCCTTAGCTTCCTGCCAGTTAGTAACATTTATTTTTAATACATAATGACAGTAGAATTTACTGTTAATATAGATATTTGAAACAGTGCTAAAACAAAGACCATATTTGACCTCAGCTTTGTACTATAATCTGAGCTCCAGTTTAAGTAACCTGCAAGCAACAGTCATTTTGAAGAAACAAAAAAAAAAACACAATTTAGTAGTTAAAACAGAATTATAATAAACATACCATACCCTTGGGCTGTCCTGAAAGTATAGATTTAGGCAATTTTCTGCATGATTTCATGTGGCATCGTAGTTAATTAGTTTGTGCAGCCTTTGCTGCGGGAACAAACAGACGCTTCAACAAAACCGAGCTTCTGGTTTAATGGGATGCAGGAGGTCAGGGCAGAGCTGTGATGGCGGACGGGATGTGAGCCGGAGAGTGCAGGGAAGGTGGCAGCGGGCAGTGGGACCTGACTGCTCGGTCTGATGTGGAGCTGGGGGTGGGTAATGGCCGGGTCTCTTTTCATCTGCTGGACCCTGGAATCACACACCGATGCACCGAGAGCGGTGGCTGGGCTTCGCGAGTCAGGAAACAGAAGATTCATTGCAGGCATCCCCACGCCCCCTGTGCCGCCCATTCTCCCAAATAATGTTTCTCATTTCTGCTACATACGGCGATACCGCGCAGTTATCGAGGCTTCGCTGGCCGCTCATTTTTCACGTGGTGAACACCCACCTGGATATCGTTAATGATCACACATAAATTCACGGCACCTTTTGTGAACTTGGGAGAGAGCATGATTTCACAAACATAAACAGGGGGATGTGTCGCTTTTATAAATCTCCGGTCCACCTCCGGGCCCTTTTCGGGGGCTGTAACATCCTGCATTGAGCACGGCACCGGGAGGATGTACACAGTCTATACCAAGAGCGGACCGACACCCAAGAGATGCAGGACTGAGCTGGAAGCCAGGAAGCTACGCTTAACAAAGCCGCACATCCGTAATCCAAAACTGCAATTCCGAGAGTTTATAAAAATTCAAATAAAACTTGAATCCTGCTGAATGCAGCAGTACAGCTTTATGGCAGTGTCTTCCGCAACGTGACGCATGCCGTGTTGGGAACAATGACTGCACAGCCGTTTGTGTTCTTGCCCTGGATTGATCGCATTGGCCAGCAGGTAAATGGCTCCTCGCTTGTCACGTGCCCGTTCTGAACGTTTCCAAAGCAAGATTTAGGAAAAAAATGTCAAGCCAGATATAAGGTTGTTCTCCGAGATATTAAGAAAAATGCCCTGGACAGATGCTAAATTACCCTGCACACCTGTCACTTTGGACCTACTTTCTCAATGTTGACACCGAATGTTGCTGCTTTAGGTAAATTAGCTCATTAAATTCAGGTAGAGACACAATCTGGCTTAAAGGACTTGCACAAATGAAGAAGGAACAAATTATTTTCACAAGCAATTACAGTAACACTCAAAACTTCCATTCGAAGTGTGCAATATCATGGCTTGCACAGAACCGAATGTCGAATATGCGCTCTGTACCTTCAACATAAATGCTCATATTTATGCGAGGGACACACGAACCAGCTGCACCACAAAGCAGATACACATTGTGATGGGAAGATGAATCCATATGAATGGCTGCCATATTGGTACCATCTGTTTGTTTGTCATGTGGCCATATGGCACTGTATTTACCCACAATAACTTTTAAAATATCATCTGCTGTCTAATATCACGGTCTGCTAGTGGATAAGTCATCTGTGGACAAAAGGAGATGGAGGGCTAGTCACAGACAGTCGCCCCAACAACAGGATCTTTAAAGTTGGTTATGAACCATTTCAAACTGCAAAATGACACAAAATCTATCAAAGTAATTCTGAATTTATGTAGACTGATCGAAGTGTTTTTGCACTGACTAGTAAATGCCAACTCCCTTTATACAACCCCTAGGAGTTGCCACAACACAGGCCCTTAACAGCAATAAAGTTATTTTGTGAAAAATACTTTGGTCATATACTGTATACTTTTTGTATATGCTCATGTACAGTACTGTGCAAAGTCTTAAGCAGTCAAAGAAAATGATGTTTGAATGATCTTCATTTTGGTGTAAAACTATAACATCATAACATCATGTCTGTCAAAATGTGTCCGCTTAGGCATTTCAAAACCTCTCCTGAAGTCACCCCACTATTTCCATCCAATACACCCATGTATTCTCTGGCTTGACCACTAGCACACCTTGCTTGGCCAATCAATACCTCAACAAGTCATTTAATCATTTAATTAAATCGATTAAAGGAGTCGGTGGTGAAATTTAGCGAATATGTGGAATGGTAGGTGCTCCTGCAAAGAGGTTTGGGAACAGAAGCGTTGATCTTCTAGCCATCCAACAAGATATCAGCGACTTTTTGGAGAACAGAAAAAAATCGTGTTAGTTTTTTTTTTATGATGTCACAGTTAATTTGCATATGTTATAATGTTAAATAATGTTATAATGTTTTTTTATTCTGAGCAAATATATATTTACTGCCAAGATAAATAACTTTAAATATTTTCTTTGATTGCCTAAGCCTTTTGTACCGCCCTGTATATAGACTGCTAACAGAGTAAATTTAATGTTAAAATGGGATACATAATTGTTATTATTGAACAAGCATAATCTAGGTAAAAAAAAAAAAAACACCTGTCAAGACACTTTAACTACCAGTTGACATATGACCAAAAAAGAAACACAAGCAAAAAACCTTCTATAAAAACCAGCAACCTTCTCTGTTGCAACTCGTGAATATGCACTCCTACTACTCGAATTGTCCTGACTTCCTACACAAAAAAAACCACACATGTGCCAGTGAGTGGTGGGGCAGACCATGGAGAAAGTTCTGGCACCCGTGTTCGAACCTCATGCCTCTCAGTGACCTCTGGGAATTGATGTGATTCCACGTGAAGGGTAAGTCACGTTTCACGCCAGTGCTGCTCGTGCAATACGTGAACGAGCCGCAACCAGCATGGCATCGCTGTTAGCTTCTGGAAAATACCGATGTAATGTATGAGGGTCCAGTTCCTAACATGTGATGGGACCCCATATAATTGATATCAGAATTGAATGTGTGGATTTTAATTGACAAGATAACAATGTCGGTGCATTTTAGCAAAGCAATCAGAGGTGTATGCTTAATTAATGAGAAAGTAAGTCTCAAAGGGAACAAAATGCTTCCTGGTCTCCTGGTATGAAATACCAAGACAATAATTATACCTTGAAGTTGTTCTTGTCGCTCTAACTCATTTTAGTCCCTAATTACATGTAATTAAACTGTCTGCCTGAAATATTGAAACATTTTAATTTCCATTGTTCATCTAAGAGCAGGAGGCGAATATGTGGAATAATGCATAACGAGTCAGCAGGATGATCTGAGCAGGAAACAGAGGTGACTTGGTTTCAACCCCCCCCCCCCCCCCCCCCCCCCCCCCCCCCCCACCCGGCCCCACTGGCATCTAAAAAAAAAAAACCTGGGAACTGCCTTATCCATACTGCCTATAATCCACCAGGGGGGGTCAACAGCATCTGCCAATCAGAGACAAGGTGAGGTCCACCGTGTCGATTTCTAGGTCAGTTTGTGGCTATTTATCCCCCCTGAGGGCTGCGACAGCGAGCAGACGGGTGAGCGGGTGCGGGGGGGGGCAAGGCTCACCTTTGCAGACTGGCCGGTGGTCGCTCCAGGCGGCAAACACCTCAGCCACCCTCTGGCAGGTGATGGTCTTGGAGCCCTGGAGCACATGGTCCTCGTCGCAGGAGAACTGAGCCGTGGCTCCGATGCTGGTCATGGCACAGAGAACGTGGTTAGTGTCAGGGAGGTTTACGTCTTGCCCTTCCCTGGGGAACAGTGACATTCAGTCTCACGCAGATTGTCGCGTGTTTTACATGGATTTTGGCAGCCTGATGTCCTTTAAAACCATGGCCACTTAAATGTCACATGCATGTCAAACATTTTTGTCATATAAGCAAGTTGACATGAAATGATTATAATTAGCAATAACATCAGACACTTATTGTTTCCCAATAAGTGCAGTAACTCTCAAATCCGTATGCAGGTAAATTCAACAGGTAAGTGGTGGTATTCATTAAAATTATATTATTACTACTGTTATTATTATCAATAATAATTTCCAGTGCCATTGTCAGCTTTCTACAGGGAAACATTATCATCTATTAAAAACATAAGCCCTTCATGGGTCAAAACCTGATTGCAATGGAATATAAGCATGTAAAAATGAAAAACAATAGACCCGACAGGTCATGTGAGACGGCCTTTATAGATCAGAAGCTAATGAAGTCTTTGAAAAAGCCTTGTACAATAATGTATAATGATAATATTGTTGGTAGCTGATCTGCTATTTAAATCTCTCTCAGGACAGGGCCCTGAATTTCACTGAGTTTCTGACGACCCAGGTTACTGAAAGGACACTGTGAATGGAGGCGAGATACCAAGATATAATTGTTTGAGAAACCATTAATGAGCCGTTTTAAAACTTTTTTTCTGGACTGAGAAACATTAGCTGAAGCATGACGCGGCACACCCAGACATTTTGCTAATGCACGAGGTGATCAGAGTACCCATGAGGGGTCACTGCTGATGTACTGTCTGAGTCTGTATATATGCAGTATATCACAAGCATAATATTTCCCAGCATGCACTAGTGCAAAGGACAAAAAAGAAGCTAGGACTGATGACAGGGTACCATCAAGCTACCACTGGGAGCAACTACTGTACCAACAGAACTGTAAGAAAAGCATAGACAGGACCTTGGGAATGTAAGGATGGATGCTCTATTTCATAATCGGACCGGAGGGCGTAATTAGCTGCGATTTACATTCAGACAGAACTATGACTTGGCATGTGACACACAAAGGACACAACATTTCCCCAAAATTATGCATATTCCACTGTAGGGTAAAGTAATTTCTGTCCTGAGGGCCCGTAATCCTGCAGGTTCTTGAGATGCTCTTCAATTAGCATTTCATTTACATGAGGAACCCTAGGAGAGGAATTCATATCCAAGCAGAGGCCAAGAATTGCAAATGGGGCTGGAACACAGCAGAGCCGTCCGACTGGCTTTGGAGAACTAGCCTGTCCAATTTTTAATCTACCACCTACTACATCAGCTGTTCTGTGGTCTTCTTTTACACAAACATTATAGCATTTCTACAAAAACGAGAAATTACTGAAATGTCTCAATGTATAATTTAGTATAGCAAATTAAAATTGACTTTAATGAGTATTGCCCATATATTATTCTGTATTGTTTTTAGTAATTATAAGGTTACTTAAATATTTTATGCTTTTTGCTAAAGCTGCCAAGGGTGACTGATGTTACAAAATACTTATCTGAATTATTTAGAGAGATTTACAAACAGCTAGACAAGCAGGTAATGCATGACTAAATGTATGTGTTAAGCATTTATAAGCGTCATTAAAACATGTTCTCTCTGCAAAGATCAGTTTCATTAGCACCTATGGTAATACTTCACTTGAAGGGGCACAAATAACTTAGTCACTCACTTCCTATTTCAAAACAAACCATGAACTAATATAATCACGGTATGAAATACGTGAATCATCATGATCGATTAATGGTGAAGGAACATGGGATCACTATGTAACTAACACTTAGTTTCTGGTTAATTAATGTTTTAAGTAAGCGTGTACTACTACATTAATTGTGCCCCTCAAGTAAAGTGTTACTGCACCTATAATTTCTCCCAAAACAAGTTTACACCTAGTTTAGATACACAGGTATATCTGTGTCCATTACCACCAAGCAAGAGCAGGTCCTTAAAAGCAGGTCCGTCACACAAACACCATGACTGATACAGGGAAGGAGGCCACACTGGAACACATCTTGACGGCTTCCAGAAGACCGTGTTCTACAGTCCCGTACACGGAAGAGCGTTTACCTAAAGTCGGAGCCAATGCGCTTCCCGTTCTCAGGTTCTCCAGGGTCTGGGCATGAATTGGACGCTTGCTTAATTCCTCCTTCGTTCACTAGAGAAGGAAAAAGATAAGAGTTTCATCACAGTCGGAGTTCGCCCCGCAGGTTTAAAAGAAGGAAAAACAATGAGTCTGCAAGCAATACATGCCTAGTTCATGCCACTGCCTTTCACCATAATGCAACAGACAACAGGCACTTTCATTTATTCTTATGGGACAACATGGGTAACCTGCAGTAGGGCAGTCTCCTAAACATGGAGTGAATGGAAAAGGATTTCAGTGGGAAAATCTCCAATTTCCCAAGCGACGTGCTAGAACGCTCTCCAGGACATCAAACACGGTGGGTTAAGGTTAGACACTTAGGGGCTTATAGGCTTAAAATAAGGCTCAGCGTATCCCACTAAACATGGATCAACCCGTGTCACATGCGTGCCCTTTTATATGCCACCGCGATCCCGCCCTCCCTCAAAACAAATGAAGTGTCACTGCAGCGAGTGCATGAAAATTTCACAGCATATTTCATGTATCTGAGAAAATATTGTTATTCCCTGATATGCTTGGGGGGAAAAAAAACCCAAAACAAAACAAAACAAAAAAAAAGCATGACATGCTTTCTCACAGATGGTGCCCATTACTTTTTAATGATTGTGTGGACCGTCCGACCATGTGTAGCACACTCGAAGCATCACAAATGCTGATTCTGTGTGCTCTGTTGATATCCATGCAGAGAAGACTGATGCCGAGGACATTACACTATGAGGAACAAAGATATGCACAACGAGAGCAAACTGCATGTCCGTATGAAGGACAGAATGCCAAAGTGTAACGCAGAGACAGCAATTTCAGCATTAGCCTCGGTGGAAACTCAAATGGTTACAAAAGGTACTAGCTAGATCACAAGTAAGTAAGCGGATTCAACAATGTTTGAAAGACAGTGATATTCGACCTCTGGCCTCAAACCTCCTCTTTCAACCCCCACACACACCAGCATATGTTCCCAAATGACCTTCTTGCTCAATCAATACTCTTGCATTGGGTAAGAGTTTTACATCCACACCGCTCGCTCTGCTCCTAGAGCTATATGGACGAAATACATTACAGCAGCCCTTTCTGGGACTTGACGTACCAGTCATCAGGCTGCAAATCTGTTGCTGTAATTGCCAGGCTACCAGTGATTAAATTAAAAGCTAGTTTGCCCTATTCCCCTATTAGGAAAGTAAAGCTCCTTAGCTTCATAAAGTGTTTTACAGAATTCTGTAATCCCCAAGCCTTTTGCAGGGCTTGATGGTCATTTCCTATAATACAGTACATCTATCGTCAATGCTTTTAAATCATTACTTGCCAAACTCAATACATCCATATATATATCCATATATATTCTGCTCATGGGGGCGGCATGGTGGTGCAGTGGTTAGCACTGTTGCCTCACACCTCTGGGACCTGGGTTCGAGTCTCCACTTGGGTTACATGTGTGTGGAGTTTGCAAGTCCTCCCTGTGTCATCGTGGGGTTTCCTCCAGGTACTCCGGTTTCCCCCCACAGTCCAAAGACATGCTGAGGCTAATTGGGGTTGCTAAATTGCCCTTAGGTGTGCATGCGTGAGTGAATGGTGTGTGAGTGTGCCCTGTGATGGGCTGGCCCCCCATCCAGGGTTGTTCCCTGCCTCGTGCCCATTGCTTCCAGGATAGGCTCCAGACCCTTCTTTTTGTTAACATCCTCATGTATATAATTGAGACTTTAAGCTGCATTTAAACTATCCTGTCAGTTTAAATTAAAAAGCAAAACTGACCCAAAAACATTATCAATTATTTTTTTTATTGAATGGAAATTTTTTGGTAAGACTCTTTGCTGCCTGGGGGATTGTTTTATTCTGTTACAATAGTAACTTGTTTGAAACAAAAACAGGTTTAAATCAGATAGCAGAGCCATCACATATAATTTGAAAAAACATATTTGGGTGAAAGAGTGTGGTTCAGGCATTGTCCACCCCATAACTATTACCAAGAAAACATCAGTGAAAAATACATTCAGCTGCATCAAACTGGATGAATGGCAGAAAAAAACTGAATTCAAAGCAACCTACCAGCTATCATTTTAGTAGTGTTCTTAATATACAGTTATTTTTAATGAATGCATTTCTTTTTCACTTCATATTTGTGTTATATTTATGAATTCTTTAAAACACAGATCAAATGAAATTCCGTGATTGGGAGGCGAATTATGCAAAGGGAACTTCATTTATGAGGGTTGCAAGGAGGTAATTTCTTTGCAGAAGCTCACCGCACAAAGACAGATGCGGCAAACAAATGCTAAATCAGAATAAACAAAGATGTTCCTTCCCTGGAACAAAGGCAAAAAGTGATGTGTTTTTAAAGTGACTGGCATCCCTCTGTCATTCTGATGCACAGGAAAAGCTGTCAGTACCTGCCCTTGGAACTTGCCTACACCGTCTCTATGTGGAATAACCCATGAAGACTGACTGCAATTTCATCAAAATTACAAATAGCACCATCAGACAATTACACTACGATTACAGTCACAGAGCATCCATAACTGTTCTGCGCATCGAGCACCATGCTGTAAGTACTAGGCCCTCTCCAAAGCATGATGCACAAATGGGCACCGTGTTTCCTGCCTGCCGTTCCCAAGGTACTCTTGAATATTTCATGCCCGTGTTGTTTAATATGTCCGCTTGTGTTTGTCCACTTGGTGGCATTCAGGGGATGCAGTAGGATGTCATTTCTGAGATCGAACAGGCACACGGCAGGAGCGAGAAATGGAAAAGACTAATACTGATAACCAACTAATCAACCAACCGACCAGCAAACAAACAAAGAGACAAACACATTCTTTCTGGGGTTGCTTGACATTTTTGTAAGTAACAAACACCAAGAGATAGTGTATGTATGTGACAGGCTAGTGATATTTGCTAATTAGGCTCTTGCACCCACATACACTTCCCACCTAGAATGGTCTTATATAACAACTTACAAAAAGACAGACCAATAAATGCCGTGGCAGCATGTGTTCTTATGCTAGGTTCTGGAAAACATAAATATAAGACATGAAATATTGCCATATGTCTAGGTTTAACAATAGCAAGGACATTATCATGTCTCTAACAGAGTCATCTAGCACAAGGGCAATTTGGAGGATATACTCTTCAAATTTTAACTGCATTGAGTAACCCTAACCACTAGAGGACAGAAATCAACCTAGACTGTACTTCTCTCCATTAGACCGTCATTTCCAAAAACATTTTCAGAGCATCAGGTATCGATATTCAGAATGCACTGATTTTTCTCCACACTGGTAGTTTTCCATAAAGAGGCAAAACGAATCAATATTCTGATAGACTTTCTAAGGTGCACTGAAAGAGAAAATAAAACTGTCTAGAATAAAGTATAATATAAAAAAGACTGTAATGACTTTAAAAGGCTATCAGGTTATAGTTAAACATCACTGAAGCACAGGCTGAAGACCAGACAAGCTGATTAAGGCTTTCAGCCTGACACAAACATTGTTTGAGGACTGAAGAGTGCTGGTATTTCCCTGGGGTGCTGGCTTACAATGCTGGACAGACCTAATGGCTGACAAATAGATAGATAGATAGATAGATAGATAGATAGATAGATAGATAGATAGATAGATAGATAGATAGAAGTATGGATGGATGGAGGGATGGATGGATGGATGGATGGATGGGCAGATGGATGTCACAAAACAAACAGTAGAAAAACACTATTCCGAAGAGTAAAGTCTGACATTCAAGTGCTTCCTCAAAAGGGCTTGTTTTAATGATAATGTTATATTTCACAGGTGAAAAATCTTGATGGACGTGTTATACTGTACCAGCCCTAAGAGCACCCAGGAAGAGGCGACCGCGGGCATGTTGCAGACAGAGCTCCACAGCAGTCATGCATAGGAACCTCCGTAACGAATTCAGAGCACCTTGTTTGATCCTGGAATGCTGGCACTGATGGCCTGGAAATGCTTATTGCCGGAGACAGTCGAGGTACAGATACATACATTTTAAAGACGGAGCAAAGAAGGACATAGAGGCAAAGGCCCCCCCCCCACTCACAGATGGCAGAAAGATGAGACATTATTTGATTCATATGCCATATATATGAAAAAAGCAAAAAGGAACTTGTATCAAAAGTTGCATGCAGCAGAACCTATCATCATAGATATATAACCTGCACAAAGGATCACAAATACATATGTCTAAAAGCTTCAGCTGTTTAAATAGGGGAAGGGGCATCCTTTGTGTTTGTCATGAAACACGTTAATCACAGTCTTTTTCATCCACCCACATCCAGAATATTCCTGCGCCACTAAATCTCAAGGCCTATTTGACATTCCATTTGCCTTAGTTTATATTACAATGTCACCAAGAAAGCTTGTATGAAATCTCAATGTGGTCCCGCTGTATGTCTGTGAGACCACCCTCGCAGTGTTACTACTGTCATTAGCGCTGCCATAAATGGCCTGGCTATGCCTAGCCAAAGGGATGCTGCTGAAACTCGAGTAGCTACCAGAAATGAACCCCTGTCAGTATTTCATGGTGTAAATGAGCTCCCCTGTTCATCAAGCAGATCATGGGGAAAAATTAGGCTAATTAAATATCACAATTAATTAAAAATTATATGTAAAAGAAATAACATTGTACCGTGTGACTGCTTTAGCTCCTTAGTCACACAAGAATAAGGCGAATTACTACAAAGATACCCCAAAGATACAATGTATTCTGTAGAGCCATTCAAGAACAAAAAATACAGAATGAAGCCGCTGATTGGCCACTTTGACTAACATCTCTTATAATAAAAAATTCAGTACATGGAATCATTATAGGCCATTAATCAGTCTGCTTGTGCAGTTTAATTAACAAAAATATCTGTACAAAAACAAGCTATCGACCTATAGCCTTAAATGATACAAGTTAAGCACTATTTCTAAGTTTGAACTCAAAGTAACGTTGTCCAGAAATATTACCTTGGCATATGCAGGTTAATTAGTTTGTTACTAATGCTCACACCCACCCTTACTCCCATT